TGACAAGCATGTTTTAAGACACCCACAAGTACTATCTACTAGATGTAATTTTCAAATTTCAATATAAAATTCCAAAATGACGCGAATCAATTATGGAAAATCAGTTATAGCGGAAGGGTAGGGGGTGATTGTCTCCTAAGAATAGCTACCGATTCGAAAATAAAACCCAGCTGCTATTTAAACCATAAACAGGAACACCAAATTCAAATTCGTTACGTTTTACCTTTCAAAAGCATTTAGAAATTAAAGAAACCAACCGTCATTAATTATTACGAAATTAAATAAACCTAACAGCATCGATTTGTCTATTTAGTCGAGCAATAAATTGTAAGCCGCTTACAATTGTTAATTAGGTAGAAACTTTCCCACCCAGAAAATGTCAGTCACCTTAGAGCCCGGTCTTTAGTCTTGCACGACTTGAGGCTTCTCTGCTCGTAAATTAATAAATGTCAAATGCATTGCAACCACCGCCCACCTGCCGCACAGTCCATCAGGTGCCGGGCTCGGGTAATTGTTCATCCAACTTCCCACCTGCGGAGCTGCTGCATTGCCATAATGTCGTGTTGGGTTGCCATCACATTAATTTATAACGTGATTCCCAACTTCCACACCTTCGCACTCCCACACATGCATCCATGGGCTGAAACGGTGGTGGCTGTTGCTGTTGTTGTTGTTGTTGTTGTTGTTTTTGTTGCAAGCACTGTGGGTGTTGCCGCAACTCGCTCGAGTTTCCAGCACAACCTTGACTGTGAGCAGGAAAAGGCATTGAGAAGTGCAACTGAAAATGGGGCCAGAAGCATTAGATCTCGTGATTTATTGTCAGCACGGGTCTAATTATGGAATTGTTTAAGCTTTTTAATTTGTGCCCCGACGTTTGAGGACTTCCAAGCCTTCATCGCTTCATGGGATCAGGGCAGGTGGGCGTCTCTTCTGGCATTTGCCATTCAATTTTCAACCCAGCAGCTTCACTTCAATCCCATTCAATCCCCATGCTTAGCCAGCTCAACAATGTGGGGGCTTGGGAGGTGGATAATGCCTGATGGATGGGATGGAGGGGATCACGTGTTGACACCAAAGGACTTTGTATTGCACGCAGTGCGTCGCCCACATGCCGTGTGACGAAAAACAGATGTCACTTTAACATTTGTTGGGAACAAAACAAAACAACCCGATAATTGAAATACTCATAATAAGAAGCAACCAAAATCTAAATAATTTAAGCAGCTATAAATCAATACGAGCCATTAAATGGTTTTCCACATTTTTGTTTACTCAACTAGTTTGTTGTCCTTGCTTTGCTTGCCTTCTTCAAAGTAGCATAAAAAGGTTTTCTAAAACAATGCGCCACCTCTTCAATAAGCAAAGGACAGACTCTAAACGTTGTGTTATGTTTGAGTAAAGCCAGTTGAGGAATAAAGGGAATCTTTGCACGCCCAACACTTAATTCTAGGAAACAGTCATTTGTTTCAATGGCGGTAGCAACGAAATTCATAGATAAGCTATTTAACTTGTTATACTTAGTATTCTGCATACGCGATACGATTGCCTAATACGGACTTAAATATGATTGATGGGTGTCTAAATACCGCAAAAGTGTTCCATCAAATATGGCTTAATACATCATAGTCTGCCTTTCGAATATTTATTATTATGTTTGCGTTCATTTGAAAATTGGATTTTCGGTTACAAAATTAGTAAGAACCCGCTTCGCATCGTTTCCTGGAACGAAAACCACGAAACCCACTGAGCGTACCATCGATACGCTCAGATACGCGAACTCACGCTAATGAGAACGGTGACGAGCAGAGCAGTGTGCGTGGCTCATTAGGCATGGCAGAGTTTGGAAATGAAGTTGATTCGCAGAAAAGCTAAAATTGTCCAACCGACTACTCGAAACTAATATCTCAACTAATAATCAGCTGTTGAGAATAAAACGTTCCTGTTCAAGTAGGTCGAAGTATTCTCTTAATCTAATTACGAGTATATGTATTCGATTTGCAATCTCGAAATACGTATCATTGGATGGTTTCGTTTCCTGGTTTTACTTGTTTTTAATATGAATCTGGAAAATCTTGATATAGTACAGCTGAAATAGGTGAACACTAACAAGCGGTTTCGGAAAATTCCAACTAACGGAAAAGATTGTATGAAAAATCTGCAATTTTCATTTGATTAGCTTCAAACTTGGATTATGTAAACTATGAATGAATTCCAAAAGCACTACTTACTTACCATTTTCCGGGGCATCAAATATATGGGAACACAATCAGCAGACCACAGCCCAAACGGTAAGAGCTAGGACGCTGAAATTTGGAAACAAGTTGTCTTTTATGGTGAAGATAATTAAGAAAATCATAAATCCGATTAGCTTTAAACTTGGTTTATTTACTTTAGCTCTCGAAACGTACCAAAGTAATTTGCTATTTGGGAAATTAACTCTTTAGAAACTTTAGCGAGTGTCGGAAGAGAAATATCATATAGTAAATACACTTAAATTTGCAAGCACAAATAGTTAACCCAGCAAAGATGACACTCTACCAAATGCGAACAAATAGTGGAAAGCATTAAAAAAATCAATGGACGGTCCTTTATAACAAGAACAAAGATATTTAAGCTACAGCTACATTGAATGCAAATATGTAATATCTTCGATTGTTAATGATGCCATTTAATACATTTAATGCTCACAACATTTCAGTCACTCTGCTTATTGTTGCAAATAAGTTTGCGATTACACAGATATGGGATTACCGACTGGGCAGCGTCCTTTGGATGCAAAATGCCGGAAGCAGCTCACGATTGCTTCGCATGGAATTTAAGTGACGCTGGGGATTTCCTCGAGCACAGTATTACGCTGGTTTCCGCGGCAACTGCCTTCTCGATTGCAGACAGGGTGCAGAATATTTGTTAATCTTCGACATCCTTTTGCTCGCAATGTTGTAAAACGAACAGAAGACAATTTATAACCCGAAATCAAAACGGATGTTGCAGTTTCTATGCAGCTTTTCCATACCGGTTCAATAATTGAATGATTATGAAGGATATATTTCAATAAAGGGCAGCTGGAGAGCTCATTCATTAATAGTGCTGTAACTTCCTCGAGCAACGTTGAACAACGTTGTCTCATCGTAACCACTAAAAAAAAGTAACCTAGTTACTGGCTAGTAAGCGAATAATAAATGCTCAGAAATGTTGCAGCACTCGACTGTGTATTTTGTCCTTTAAATGTATATTAAGTAAACAACAGGATACGCAGAAATTCTTAGAGCTCCTTTTCATGTTTATCTCGCTAAAACCAAGATCTGAGACTTTTTAGATATAGTCGTATACATACAAGTAGTATACACAACTCTTCACTGCTGAAGCTGCTGAGAGTGGCAACGTGATGTGAAAAAGGGTATGCCAGATAGTTCATTAATGCTCGATGTTTCCGTCAGATGACATATGAGTTGGGTGGCAACACTGTTTACGCACATTCGTTGTGCTGTCGACATCGGTGCAGTTCTCATTATAGCCTGTACCCAAAGGGTGAAAGGCTATACTAGTTTTGTGCGAATGTATGTAACACACAGAAGGAGGCGTGGCAGACCCCACAAAGTATATATATTCTTGATCAGGGTGACAAGCCGAGTCGATATAGCCATGTCCGTCTGTCTGTCCGTCTGTCTGTATGAACGCAAGGATCTCAGCAAGTACAAGAGCAAGAATAACCAAACTTGGTATTCAGATTCTCCTAAGTCCGAGAATGGACGAGCGAGTGTTTTTTTTTTTTTTTTTGATACACCCCCCACACCCCCCACTCACCCCAATTCATCTTTTTCATAACTCCTGTAATTCTTGGAATTTTGCACATCCAGTTAGTGATTACATGTCCGTATATTAAGTTTCATCATGATTGGTCAATTCTGAAGAAAGTTATAGCCATAAATAAAATCGCTGCCTGCAGCTCTGCCCGCAGCTGTTGTTGTTGTTGCTGCTTTGGTTCAACTTTGTGCTGCATACATACACGCATATAAACACGCATAGGTACGTGATGTAAATGTATGCTGTTAAAACTGAACATAAACATGTATTCTAATTTAATTTAATTAATTAATTAATTTTTTTAATAATTTAATTTTTTTTTAATTTTTTCTTTTTTTTAAGTTTCCTTTTTTGTGGAGAGTACAGGCTATTTTACTGTCAGGCTTGCTCGACTGTAGCGTTCTCTCTTGTTTCTTTTTGGGGCACTGCACATTAAAAATTATATTTTTATTTATTTATGCCAACAAACATTGACTGTTTAACAAAAGAAATACGGGATGAAAACAAATCGTGACACTCTGAAATACGGACCAAAATGTACATTTTAAAAACAATATGGAATTCCGAATCAGTTTCAATTGGTGCTTCAGTTCATTATAAATTAGCCAGCCAGCTGCATAGTCTACAAAACGAACACTCACACGAATTAATCTAAACAGACCAAAGCGTATATGTATTTGCGGGAATACTAAATAGAAAGAAAAGAAAACTTTATTGACTTTGATTCAATCAATCAATGCGAGTCTTGAAAGCAGTGCAAGCGATACAATTCTAGTTTAGAACGAGCTCTAAAACAAGTAAGTGTGGGAGAGAATGCACCAAGAGCTCTCATCCATGACTATTGTTATATTAAGTTATGTATAATTGATATGAAATTGGGCCAACATTTGAAACAATCAAAAAAACAGTTAGGGTATTACCTTGCTCAGTTTTCTCCTTCTAGTGGTCGATAAATGATGACAGATTAATTGAAATGTGCCAGCATTAACATGAAAGAATTCTATAAAAACTTGCAGAGCTCCATTAGGAATGTAGCTCTGGCATAGTACATACTTACTAAGTATTACATACATACATAGTATATGGGGGTACTTAGTACATACCTCACACTTTAGACATTTGAGTGTTGCTGGCATATTTTTCAAAATTTCAGAGAGTCTGAACATACTTATACATATTTTGTTTAGTGTCAAAACATGTTACGGATAACTACTCATAACACCAAACGGCGATCAAGCCAGTCAAGTTCTCAGGCGAAAATCGATAAAATAATTCACCAGCTTACGACCGAGCACCGAGGATCGATACACAATCGCAACGTGATTTTGTCGGTGGAGGACATTAGGTCGGTGTGTATGATGGCGCGAGAAGCCTTTTTGGCGCAGCCGATGTGCATAGAGGTGAAGGAGCCGTTATGTGTGGTGGGAGACATACACGGCCAGTTCGACGACTTACTTCGCATCTTCGACTACAACAATTGTCCGTCCAGCAGACGATTTCTATTTCTGGGCGACTATGTCGATCGAGGCAAAAACTCCATAGAGGTTATCGTGCTGCTAATGTGCTATAAGTTAAGGTATCCCGATAACCTGTACATGCTGCGGGGAAACCACGAAAGCGAGGTCCTAAACATGCACTACGGTTTCTATGACGAATGCAAGCGTCGCTATACAATCAAGCTGTTTAAGACTTTCGTGGACTGTTACAATTGCATGCCAGTTGCGGCGGTGATTTCAAACCGAATCTTCTGCTGCCACGGTGGCCTGAGTCCAGATCTGTCCACTATTGAGGATATCAATCATTTGGAGCGCCCAGCACAGATCCCAGTTAAGGGACTTCTTTGTGATTTGATGTGGTCGGACCCAGAGAACATCTTCGGATGGGGTAAAAATAATCGAGGCGTGAGCGTTACCTTCGGGCGTGATATAGTGGAGCGTTTTATTCGTAATCACGACTTTGACTTGATCGTTCGAGCACACCAAGTAGTCGAAGAGGGATTTGAGTTCTTCGCCAAGCGTCAACTGATCACACTTTTTTCAGCACCCAACTACTGTGGCGAGTTCGACAATGCCGGCGCAACGATGAACTTGAATTCGGATCTGAAGATATCGTTCCATGTCTTTTCACCCAAAATTGGTGGTAGAGCTATTACTAACATTATTACGGTCGCAGGACCACAGGTCAGGATCCGTAATTTACAGTCAATGCCCACAGAAAACCAGCCGGGATTGGGCGAACAACTGTTGCGGTACAAGACTCGGGAAACAAAGAAGCAATAACGCTAGTGAAAGAAGTAATTAATCAGCTTTTTAAGTTATTAAAGCAAATATAATAATGTCATTCCATGGCTTGAATATAAAGTGCACAATCTTCTCAAATATATAACTCTTCGAAGTTAAAAATTGTACTAAGTGTATATCATTCATTCAATATATTGTCTATTTCTACAAAATACTGGCGCAACACGGAATTTTAAAGAAATAGACAATACTACACGTCTTGATTCACATTTTAAAACAAATAGCCCATACATACTACATTATCCAAGTAATGCCATTTTGATTGATTTCAGCGTTTCCCTTAGCTGGCAAAAGTCTTGGCACTCATGTAGTTCACTTATTAATTAAAATCTGAAACTTTTGGCAGCCATAAATATTTAATTTTTGTCAACACTGTTATTTACTAGCTTTACATATGAACCTCATTGTTGATGCTTTCTCGCTACAAGCTACATGTTTGGATTATCTTATGTTTGAATTGCCTTTTTTATTGATTTTCGTAGATATACTATAATGTTAAAAGGTGAACTGTAACAAATAGTTAACTACAGACATACACAACTGTGGCAGGTTACAATTCTGATTCTGGCGCGTGCCCTCAAGTGCCCCGACTGATAATTTATTTAGAAGAATTATACACAAACACCTGCACTAAAGTTCACACTCAGTTAAGATAATAAGGCTTGGTCATTACACAAGCCAAATAATGCTAGCTTTTGCTAAAAAGAAACCTTAAGGAAGACCCAGGTCAAAGCAAACAGTCAACAGCCGAACAGGATAGGGGATGTAATCAAAAATTAAATGTACAAGTTTATATTGAAAAACTTTTAACGTAAAATTGTTAAAGCTCTCATAATTGCCACTCAGTAAGCTCAGCTGCGAAAAGTTCATTATAGATTAGATATATACGCTATGCTTATGCAAGCAGCCAGCTGCATAGTCTACAAAACGAACATATACACGAATTAATCTAAACAGACTGAAAAGAAATAGAAGAAAACTTTATTGACTTTGATTCAATCAATCAATGCGAGTCGTTAAAGCACTGCAAGGGATACAATTCTAGTTTAGAATGAGCTCTAAAGCAAATAAGTGTGGGAGAGAATGCACCAAGAGCTCTAATCCATGACTATTGTTATATTAAGTTATGTATAATTGATATGAAATTGGGCCAACATTTGAAACAATCATCAACAGTTAGGGTATTACCTTGCTCATGTTTTCTCTTTATTATTTTAGGGGTTTTACATTTAGATTCAGAATTTTTCCCATGACCAGTTAAAACTAAACATAAAGGCATGTTCATATGAAAATTGTTCAATAACTAAAATACACTTACGTTCACATATCTAGCTGGCGTATGAACGATCGGTGAAAAAAGCACTCTTTGTATGATGACATTCTTGTTAATGCAAATATCTTAATCCAGTCTAAGTATTTACGCGCCCCGCACTCGGTGCAGATATCAAAGCTATCAAGCAAAAACTCTAACACTCTACTCGTTCCACTATTACTCAGCATATTCAATTGAAAATGAAAACAGCAATGAAAATAGCGTCCTTGTTTTCATTGTGCCAGCCAAGTTTATTAACTTACTGATTGGCACTACTATATACTCGTACAACAAAGGCAGCAATAAAGCGCAAAAGTGTGCTCCACATGCAGTTCTTGAATTTACGACAACAATGATAGCAAACAAAAAACAAGAAGCATAAAAAGACGGTTCAAAAACAAAGACAAAGACAATGAAAATGAAAAGCTGACAACAGTGTCAGATTATAGTTTTCACCCTGACCCCCACGTCCCTTTTGCCACAACACCCCACGAGCACCCGAAGTAGGCGACCGCCTCGGGCTCATTAAGGCGCTGACAGCACAACAAATTAATAATTAATTTGATTTTTCGCCAGCAGCAAAGCTGGCGCACAAAAATAGAATGATGAAAAAAGCAAAAGCTATATATGTACAATATAAAAAAATCATTGAGCACACCATGCAGCAGAGTCATTAATTAAGCCAGCGCGAAAAGCACGAAGCCACGAAAAGAGGCGAAAAGTGGCAAAAACGAGGCGAGGCAACTTCACAATGCAAAAGCGATTGCCAAGTGCAACTGTTGCATGGGACGCTCACAAGGGAGAGGGATGGGTGGGTGGCAGTAAACGGCTTTTAGCATACTTATGTGCGCACATATAGTACATACATATGTATGTATGTATGTATGCGTGTATGTACTTGTCAACATTCGTGTTAACGACATTTATGTCGACATGCAACTGTACATGCATTTTCATTTGCCATTCATCTTCCTATGTATGAGTTTCTTGTGTATTTTTAAGGAATAGCAAAAGCGCTTAAAATAAACCAACTACTGGTACACGCACACGCACACGCACACACATACATATTTGGGCCACGGCCACATGCCCACAGGCGGAGCAAGCGCAACGTGTACAAATAAATGTGCCAATAAAAGCAAATAATATAAAATAAATAAATGTGAATTGCAATTCCATTTCATTCAAAATGTGGGAATGCAACACATGCACTCACACACACACACACACACACACACACACACACACACAAACACACACACACACACATAAACACACGCAGACACACATACACTCATCGCAGTGCAAGTATGTGCGTTGCCACTCATACACGCACAAAGTTTTGCCTTTAATTTAAACTTGCCTTATTTTGTGCGAGTTCTTTTTTTGCCTCGAACTTTTTGGTTTGTTTGTTGCCTCTAGTTTTTAATAAGAGTTAACCAACCGAAAACACGACGCCAACGCATGCAAAACTCAGCCAGCTTCACAGCCCCAAAGCCCCACGGCTCCACAGGCTGCACATGCTGCACGGCCCACGCCATATGCCTCATGCCAACAACTACATCAACGCCCACTCCCACTCCCAGACCCACGCCCACGCCCACGCCCCTGCCCACTCCCACATCCACATCCCCCCAACGATTCGCTACGCCGCTACGTAGCATTGGCACCACACGAAACATTTTCAAGGTTTGTTTAGCGCCCATGTTAGCGATTGCGATGCCGGAATCTGTGGAATCTTATCGGAGCCGCCCTTGCGCACCTGCTTGCACCCTTTGCCAGCGTAGTTGCCACTGAACTGTAGCAACACATGCATATTTGTAGTCCTGGATAGCATATCCATACAAACTCATCCCCGCTTCTTAAACTACTCAAACAAATCGACGCCTATTTTGGACTAGCTCTTTGAGAATAACATAATAAACTCAACGTAGAAAATATTTAGGCATAAAACAATAATATTTTGAACATTGAAAATACTCGTACATACAAGTTATTATTGACCTTAAGCGCAATTTCGGGAAATTCGCAAAAATTTAAAAAAAAAAAACAACAACTCTTAAAGACGAAATATGCATTCAGTTTTTTTATGCAATTGAATCCTCGGAATATATTGGACAGCTATTTGGTAATTGGATCTCCATCCCCATACTATTCATACAAATTTTTCACAAAAAATCAGCATTACCATGAAAAATTATTTACATATGAGAACTTGAGAACTCATTTTATGATATGTTATAATGCATATATGTATTAAAGTAAAATTTTTCACTTGTGTAATATTTCATGAATATTTCCACCGATTCTTTTCAGACTTTAGAATGTTATTTCAAAAGATTTAAACCCTTATTTTTAGAATTTTGTCAATATATCTATATAATGCTATAACACAGTCTAACTCATATATTCCCGCTATAGCTTTTAGCTGTTCATATGAACTATAGTTAAGTAAACTAAGAGCACGCTTCATGGTTGGGAGCGGTATAAATGGACTCTTGTTGTGACAGTCGCTATGAAAGTTTTTCGTTTGTTGCCATAAATGCATCGAAGAACACATTGAACTGCATTCTACTTAATTTTTCAAGAGGGCCAAACAAAAATAAGATATTATTTCTGTTACAATTCAAGTGAATCAAAGTATTTTATATGAGATCTCTTATGAGAACCCGAAGCTCCACATTCGAATTTTAACGGACGGTGCGATAAAATGAATTAAGCACAAAATGTGGCACTCATTGACAAGACAAATGGGTCTATGTTGCAAATAATTTGTAAATAATTGCCAAGCAGTTAAAATTGCAAATGTTGCGCATGTCGAGAGCACAAGTCGACTAATTATGCCATAAATCTAAGGCAGAGTCTAGGATTTATGTTTATGTATCGCACGATTATAACGAGCCCCAGCACTTGTTTGTTTGTTTGTTTATTTGTAATGTGTTGGTTACATTTTAAAATCTTCATAATTTAAATTTAATCTTTTATTAGCGTAAATTGTGGCAAGGGGCATTGACATGACACGAGGCCGAGACAAGCGAGTTTCCTTGTTTTCTTGCAGCCTCACTTTTATTTTCAAGGAAAAACACGCACGCACACATGTCTGCGGGCCAAATCTGACAGAGCAGAGGGCCATGTACAGGTGCCATCATACACACACACACATACATACACACGAGCTCACACAAGCAGCTGACAACAAAGTGTGACTAATATGCTGGGGAATTTGCTGCAATGAAATATACTTCGAGCAGAGCAAAATTAATGCAGCGATGTGCCCAACGGGGGCAGAGGGGCTTCGCAGGACATGCCAATGGGTGTCTGTGCGTGTGTGTGTGTGTGTGTGTGTGCATCGTGTGTGTGTGTGTAGGTGCGTGTGGCATATAAATGAGCAGCCATTTTTTAAAGGCACCACATTTGCCTTTCATCAATTTGAATATTTTGCAGCGCTGATTTGCCAGTCGAGAAGCAGGATGTACAGAGCAGTACGGTGTGGAGAGGGGGAGGGTTAGGGTTAGGAGCAGACAAGGCAAACAGCATCTTTATTTACAATGTGCGGCAAAAACAACACACAACATCGAGTGCGAGGTTTTATACTTGAAGGCTGGCGTATTTTAGCAAAGTGAATTAAAAATAAAATAAATAAACACATCAAATGTAAATGAAATTCATAAAAGATAAGATTGGTGGGCTTATTACGTTGTGTGTACGCGTATGTTAAGACCAACTACCATACCATATGAAGTTTTACCATTGGAAAGACCTGTATTTTAAAGTGTTTCAGCACGGTATTTAGGT